AATTTATATATTACATATGTAAATAGTGTAAGTTTGAAAATGATATTGACTCGATGTTCCTATTTTTTGAAAATTATATTGACTCGATGTTACTATTCTTAGTTACATAGAGTCCACACCTTTTTCAAAAAAGGAACGTCGAGTCAATATGTCAAAATAGTTGAAAAAATACAATAGATATATTAGGAAACAAGTGACCAAATATACCAATGAGAAACAAAAAACATCAGACCATACATGTATGTAATATATCGTAATAAAACAGAAGATAAGAACCATAGTAAAGAAATATTAAAGAAAACAAAATTATAAGTATTCAGTTATGTAGCAAATTGCAAAAATTGGCAAACAAAAAAAACAACATAAAAATGTTTCCACTATTATTGATTGATTTAAATGGAAATTTTACATTATAGCATTTTACAAGCTCTTGTCTTCGTGTACTATGTACATGGAATAATTTATGAAGTTGATTGATTGTTGTTTGCTTTACGTCCAGTGGCAAATATTTCATGCATGTTCATGACAAGAACACATAAATTTTAAATACAATAAGTAGGTCTTGCACTAGGAGGTCGACAGTGAGGTTGGACGTGAAACTTGGAATATCACTGGAAAATGAGGATATAAGGACAAAAATTAGCCTTGCAACAACTGGCCGCATCCGAACCTCTCAAATAATTGGTACAAGAGTTTTTAATTTGCAGAGAGCGTTGTTCAATGAAGTCTACTCTGAAGTCGGCCATCGGTATTTACGTGTAGTTTCCAATAATATTTAAGGCATCGTATTTAGTAGGTAAGATACGTTTAGCTCGCTTTAGTAACTGTGATAATTCTGTGAAACTGTATTGGTTATAGTACTTGAGTTTTGGTATGTTATTTTATACTACCGCTCGCCTCGTTGTTCTCGTTGGAGTGTGATCGCCTCGAGAGAGGGAGGTCGTTGGTTCGAAGTCACACCGGGTCAAACAAAGACATTAAAATTGGTATTTGTTGTTCCATCGCTAAACACGCGGCATTTAAGAGTAAGTGCACAGACTGGTCGGCTCGGAATTAGAAATGTGTTCGGGTAAGGTGACTTTTCTTCCTGTGAACTGTTAGCTTGTGAACTTACACGTTTACAGTCCGGCTCAGCGTGTCGTCTTGTACAAAGCAGGATTAATATTCATATTACATTTACATGTTTCCGTCCTCAATATGCATTTAATTTGCCTGTTGGACGTCATATAATAATTTATTTTACCGTTACTAAACAGTGAAATGTTTTTCTTCTACTTGTTTATATTACACCTTCTTTAATTACCACCGATCGAAATTAAAAAAAGGGCAGGTGATTTTTTTTCAACCAAACACTTGTGTCTATTGGGATATCTTTGACGGTAAATATTATTAAATTAACTCCGTATTTTCTAGTCATGGGACGGTTTTGAGCTTATTATTCTGTATAGGCATCTTTCTATTACAAAAGAATGTATTTTGACTCTTAATGTTTTGATTTGTCTGTGTCGTTGGGTTGCTGTCGCATTAATGTATACCTTTATCTCCTTTTATTCAAAACCAAAAGATTGACTTGGGCATAGAAACTTTCACCCTTGCTACATGGTTGCGTCAGTTTGGCTGTTCGGATGTATAAATACGCAGCTTTGTCCGGTCGGAATAGAAATGTCGAATATCCATTGCCTGGTGTAGTTAGTTTCACGTTAAGGAACCATTTGAATAATTCTTTGAGGGGGAATACGATCTACGTACATGTTATATGATTGAAACCTCTAAACAACAACAAAGGTTAGCTAAATCTTCAAATAAGTCGCATGGCTGATTTTACCACATTGTTTGCGCCTTTTGCAAGGACAATTGTAGATAAAAAAACAACTTAAAAATAACAAAACCGACCTGTAAGACAATATCTAAAGAATAAATAAAACAGCCAAAATAAGTTGAATCCTTCTATAAATTGTTGCCAACATTTTTTTATCCATTTTTGCTTTTATGACAATTATACCAGATATTAAAAAACTCGACACAGCAAATTTTGTCACCTAGACGAGACTGCAGTCGTTGTACGCTTGAAGATATGAGTTATTGCCATTCGATGAAGATTTTTTTTTCTGTTCTTCTCCTTTCCTCCTAGTTTGGCTGGATAGGATACAATGTCACCCATGATGTGGACATTATCAATTATTTTATTTAATGTTAGAAAAAAATGTATTGCAAAGAGAAAAACGAGGAGAGAATTGATAGAATTTTGAGACATTTATCAACTGAATCATAATGATTATACATCAGTAAATGAAGCTGATAAATTGATTGCTCCCTTAATGTACAGTGCCAAATATGTCATTTATGTTCGCGACGAGATGCAAAGTGGATCTACCTGAAGCAAATGATAAAAATTTTAGAGCGACTCTTTAATAAGATAGAGCGTTGGCTAGAGGTAAACGTATGCCGTACTAGAATGAAAATTAACCATGATCAAAATCGTGAGTAAAGCTCCCCCCCCCCCCCCCCCCTCCCTCTTTTTTCCCCACCTTAGACGAATGCCAAAAACAAAACGACATGAATTTATAATCAATAACGGCCACTATAAGATGATAATGAGGGTGGTTTTTAATGACCTTGACTACCCATGAGGGTCTTCCACGATCGGCCATGGCTTGCGCCTTTTTGGGCATTTAATAATTTATTTTTACCTTAAGGTAATTGATATAATTGAGTGACAAATAAAAAAAAAACATAGCATGAATAAAAAGTAAAATGAACAATAATTTGAAAGAAACAATTAAATAAATAAATAAACATTTCCCGGTTTCGGACAGGTTTGTATTTCCACTCAAATTACTGTCTGATTATTGATCGAAGATAATCAACCAAAAGCACTTGGGTTCTCTGAAATTATAAACTATGGTATTTCACTTGCTGTTTTTTTCTCGGTCCTATTTTGGACCCTTTGATTCAAAGAGGGCGTGTCAAATTAGTCATGTCCGATTAACTTTTAGTAAATTGAACCACAACTTAAAGACCTACACCAGATTAATAAGTTTGGGGTACAATAAGTAAACAAAAGCGATTCTTTATGAAATGAGATCGTGCCAGGTATCTAAGATATTTATTTTGCATTGAATAACAATGAAAAATGCACGAACAGGTTTGTAATACATATTCAGATTAGATGTAGTTTTCCTTTACATCGATGGCTTCAGTTTTAATAAACAGATCAAACTTTTGGGAAGGAATTGATCTGTTATCATAGTTATATAGGTCGTGGTATTATATTTTGAAACAAGAATTAGGAAATAAAGATGTCTTGAATAGGTATACAAATCTAACTAACGTTGTAATGAGTTTATAAAAACTCCTTGGGACAAATTATTATTATGCAGCGATTATTAAGTGTTGTGCAGTCTGTAGTTGTGTGTAGTTTTTTTGTGAACTATCGCTTGTCCTTTTAGACGTTTTCGCTTTTGCATGTTTTGTACCATGATATTGTCGATTTTTAGTCAACTCATGATTGTTGATTGTCTCTTTGGTGTCTTTTTTCCTTTGTTTAATGACTAAAAATGATTCAAATTAAATTATCTTTCGTTGTCAAGACAAATTTTAATTACAAAATGATTTAACAACACAAATTAATTATATTTAGATGCTCAATTAAAGTATAAGTTATGTCGAAAGTAAATTTTTTGAAGAGTTAACACTGGTGATAACTAAGCTTGGGGTTTAGTGCCCCCTTTTTAGCCCATATATGTATTTTCCATTGTCATAATAAAGCGCATGGTCCATTGCACCTGTATTAGTTCCATTTTAAGGGTCAAAATCTATAACCGATGAAAACGACTGGTACTAAAATATTAAAGAGTTTATATGAATTCTCATACAAATCACACACCACCTCGGTGCTCTCGTGGTAGCGTGCTAGCCTAGAGTTCGGAAGGTTGTGTGATCATACATTGGACGTGTCGAACAAAAGACTTTTAAACTGGTGTTTGCTGCTTCTCCGTTAAGCTCGAGGCATTTAAGAGAAAGAGTAAGACGGGTCAACATGGGTTGAGAATATTGTGCACGGTTAGGGTGGCTTGTCGTCTGATAGACAGTTACCTTTCAAACAAATATGTTAACATCCGTCTCTGCGTGCTATAATGTACACAAACAGGGTTTTTATTTATTTCACAGCATCAGTTTCTCGTCCTAACTACAAACATGAGATATGGATTTGATTTGCCACAGAATTGTTAAACAGCCATCATCACGGAAAAGTTATTCAGCATATTGCTGTTGAAGAAAATTTTGCATCGAGTGACGTCTCTGACCAAATAGAACAATTTTGAATTAGAAATATAATATAACAGTTACTTCGCAGTTAATCTTCATCATTGTCAAGGATGTCCTTCTTATAAATGATTTGGTTAAATACTTAAAATTTGTCAAACATTGTTACATACGGTTGCGATTGTCAGTCATCTTCAAGCATGTATAATCTGGTCACGTGTTTAAAAATTCACCAACAGTTTATTACACTCTGAAACTACAAATTTGAATCTAAAATACTGAGAGTTTTAAGATTGAAGAACTTTTGCATGTTTTATAAAAATGACCCTGGGAAATTGGACCTACCTCTTTTTTACACATTAAACCTTATCTATTTAAAAGTCTCATCTATAATGGTGGACTTTTCGTAGTCAAACGTTATTCTCGGTATATACATTGAATTTAGATATCGCATTATAATCGTCTTCTAAACGAAGTGTTTCCTCCATTTTTATGGTTACTTCATGAAAATTATCTGATAGAACTTGTTTCATGGGTCTCCTCAGCCGATATACGAAAAGTTACATAATTTGGGATCTTTGATGATTAAAGTGCAATGAAACTGTTTATTCTATACTGCAAGAATTGATACTTATAGCACACAAGTTTTGATCGTATGTTCTGTCAATTACATTCATTTGTATATTACACGTTACATAATTGTTTTTGCAAACTTGTTACTGTTAATTTTGTAGGCTTACTTCAATCTAAGAAACAATGGCGTTCGTAAGAAACTTGACAATTCAAATAAACGGGAGTAAAACGTTGAATGAAACAGCGAGCAACGACACACTTCAACCTCAGGTAATATTATTAACTTACTAGTCAAGTAACTAATTTAACCATTAAAAAATGAAAAGAACACTGTATAAATTGCATGTGTCCGACTCACTTTTATGGATTTTAAATTATCCAAAATCTAAAGTAAAGGTATTTTTTAATTAATTTTATTGAACAATACTGAAGCCGTTGGTTTTCTCGTTTTACATTTAGTCATGTGGATCCTTTTTATAGTTGAATATACATGTTTTACAGTATGGGGTTTTGCTCCTTGATGAAAGTCGTATGATGACCATTTAGTTACTTACACGGACGACTGTTGACCTCTGATGTATAGTTATCTCATGGGCAATCATACATATATCGAGGATAGTAGCTTTTGTTGGTCATGGGAATGAACCATGCAGAAAGTCACTATGTGAGTTACTACATTTCATGGGCAACTGAACATTCGCGATATGCACTATTTTATTATAGCCTTTAAATGATAACTCAACAAACGCGCGCTTGAATTCTTTTTATTTTATAACAAATAGGACTATGATTTCGAAAATATAAATTGATAGTATATAAATAAAGGAACTGAAAAAGCAGAAAAAAATGTAGGACCCGTGTGCTTGTTTTAGAGATATAAGCCATTGAAATTTTGGCGGGAAATAATTCTTACATTTAACATTGGCACCCTTTTTCTTTCAAAAATTAAAAATTGTGTTATAAATTAAACGTGAGGACTTCTTTTTATATACTATTCATAGACGGACACATAGATATGTAAAAAGAAGTCCTCACGTTTAATTTATAACACATGGCAGAATTTGTCATCCATACATGATACAAGCAGAAGCTGGTTTACATTTTGAGTTTGGTCATTTTTTTTTTGGATTGAACAGGTTATGATCGGCACTTTAATATTGGATATAAATATTAACGTACTAACATTAGATACATAATCTTTATGAGAAATATCACATACCAGTTAGAATTTTTGTTTTGGATTTGTTACTATCCCTTTGGTCTTCATGATTTGGTTCAATATCCCATAAGTAAAACCAAAGATTGTTGTATGCTGTATGAAGAATAAACATGCAGTATCTAAGAATTATGATAATAGTGGCGAGAACTGTGTATCCGATATGGGCAATTTTTTTCCTTTGGACTGTAAAATGTTAAGTTAGGATGAGAATTATAACATAATTTCTGCGGTAGTAACATGATATCGTCCTGGTTCGTTGGTTCCAGTTTTGCAAGTTTGCCACTGAAATCAAAGTTAGTGGACCAAATCTTCTACCTTTCCGGAGCACCTGAGATCACCCAAGTTTAATCTGCTTTTTTTTTTTGGGTGGGGTCGTGTTGCTCAGCCGTTAGTGTTTCGAATTCGTTAACTCGTTTGCTATTTCGTTTTCTTTTTTTTTCCTGCTATGGCGTCGTCTGTTTCTCCTAACATTATGATTTTTGAATGGCCCTTGGTATGTTCCGACTCCTTTTTTTAATGAGATGGTTTACTAATACTTAATCTAATAAACTAATAAAGATCGAGTGCATTGTTGATACCAGAAGTTCAAACTCTGATGATTAAAAGCCTGAAATGATTTTAAGAAATAAAGTTGTTCCCCACTAGTAAATCAATACTGAACAAAAAAAGGTAATGTAGATCTAATCAGGTCTTCAAAGACTAAACAATAAACTACAGAGTGATGTTCAGTCTTTCGGTTAATTTCAAGATTTGTTCATTACGCAAAACTTTAAGACTGTTCAATTAGTATGTTCGATATCAATATACATGTATGTTCAGTCTATATACTTAGACTGTTCAGTAGGTGTTGTTCACCTGTTCAAATAAACGACCTACTTAATTGTCTTAAAAAAAATCCAATTTTGTCAATATAACGGAACTATAGAAAACTGTCATACAAGTGGGATGTTAAGCTAGCCATAAAACAAGGTTTAACCCACCATTTTATTCTGAAAATGATTGTACCAAATCAGGAATATGACAGTAGTTTTTCACTTGTTCTGTTGATTGATAGCCTTTGATTTTGTCAGTTTTTATTGACTTCTCTTTGTCTTGGGATTGCAGTATTTCTGTTAAACTTTTTTCAATAAAATGTAAAGCCTCTTCATTTAGACTATGTGGAATTGTCCACTTAAATACAGCATATATACATGTCGCCATTGTAGGCCTTGTCAGTACACAGTTGTGTCTCATACGAAGCACATCAAACAAAAGCACCATCCCTTTGCGTTTTGTTACATGTATGTCAAATTGATGAGTATATTGATGTGTGTCAAAAATAAAGGCACTATATATTTCGTTTCCATTATGTAGCTTTGAATACAAGTTAGATCGTCAATACAAAATAGGGCGTCATTTAATTGTTCACAACCGTTTTCAGTGGTCAGATTCATAACTCTATAACCGCCAAAACGTCTAGGGAAACGAATTTAGATAGAAAAGATATCAAAATGTTATCACAATCATCTAAGAAGGACACACCATAACCAAAGATAAAACAATAGAATACAATTATCAACAAACACCACATTCAAAACTAAAGAAGTTGATTTTCTCATATGAATTGTTTTATATTTTTCATGCCGAGTACTTTGATAGCTTGCTTTACGGTGTTGCTTTTGTCAAATTTTGGAAGGTAGTATAGTGCCTTGTTGTTGTTTACACCACCGTCCTTTATTCTCTATTATCACACGGCGGGTAAATTATCACGTTGTGATTGGTTTAACGCCGTCACGTGGTGACCCCCTATGGACCCGTAGGGGGCTAGTAAATTTCATAGGGGGTTCATGACGTCACGTCTGGCTGGTGGCGTTATCTATTAATGTTGTTGTGTTTCATTGTTTATTTCTCTACAAAACGCAGCGAAAAAAGTCTCGCGGGCGATAAATTCGTTATACGGTTCACTACTGACCCCATACGGACCGTAGAGGGTGAATAAAATCCATAGGAGATTCGGCCTTCGGCCTCACCCCCTATGGATTTTACTAACCCTCTATGGATCTGTAGGGGTCAGTAGCGAACCATACAACTAATAGTAGATAGTTATCTTAATGGCAGTCATACGACATATCCTTATTTATTAAAGTTTAGTAACACAAAAATAGATCAGGATGAAATAGGCTGAACGTGATTTATGACATAAATACACGAAAATAAGTAGTTTAGTAGAATTTACATGGTTGCCGTTTGAGAAATTAACTAATCATACAAGTTTATGACCATGTCAATACATACATTTATTATTAAGGTTTATTTTATTACAGTTCCTCAAATGGATATCCTTGATTATTCTTCTTGGAATAATATTTTTTAACCTTTTGTTGGTGGTGCTATTGATTTCAAGAAATCCTAAATCAAGAATGCGATTTTTCGTAACTAACCTAGCTATTGCAGGTAAGAATGGTATAAAACTACTTTAGAGCAATTCGCCGTTTCAGAATCTAAAGAGTAATTTCATTGTTCGTACACCAAAAATATGGAAATAACGCCACGTTATTAGTTGAAATTCCATTGTTTTGGACGTTGTCAGTCAATCACAACGCTTTGCAATCTCCGGCGCAGAGTTCATATCCGTTCCGTACATGCTCCGCAATACTACACTTAATATGACCTCTACCATACATTGTCTGACCCCATGAGGATTTTGACTCATGGCCGACAAGCATTCGGTATTCTCTGCAAAGTCCGATGCCCGATATATCACCTACCGAGGACTGTCGAAATTGGTGTGTAGTGTTACGAAGTATTGAACGGAACGGATATGATCTCTGCGCCGGAGATTGAACGCTTTGGTGTACGCTTTTGAAAACAATACCCAGGATGCAACAGATTTTGAAACGGCGAATTCAGAAAATTATGTTTCTTTATTTTTACACGAAATTATTAGCCTCGTATTCATGATGAGGTTTTACAACCACTGGATCAAAGCCACTGCTGGCGTACGTTTCATCTGGAAGGTACAGCTACCGGTCTAGTAGTCAGACCTTAGTTTTTGTAAATTTACTATTTATACTATTTAAAAAATATTCGAAACACTTCATTTTTTCGACATTCAAGCATAGATATCCAAAGTTGGATTTGGTACAACTTTTTAGAATTTGTGGTTTTAAATGCTCATCAACTACGTATTTTAAACGGCCTTCAACCTGTTTTGATTCGAGCGCCGTTGAGGAGTCCTATGCTTACAAAACACGCAATTGGTATACCAAATTACCAGCCTGGCTGCCGTTTCATTAAACAATCGTTAGCGTACGTTTGATCGTTAACCAAACGTAACGCTAAAATTCCGTTTCATAAAACAATCGTACTTTGCGATGGTCGTACATTGCGTGTGAATCGCGAACGCTATTTGCGTGTAGTTAAAATTGTCCCAAAGCGATCATTACATCAAAGATGACCGTCGCCTTGCATATTTTGAGGTACAACCGACCCCGAGCCTTTAGACGACAAAGTGTTTTCAGGGAAAGGATTGAAATCATGGACAATTTAAATGACACAGATATTATATCTCGCTACCGTCTTGATAGACAGAGCATATTTGATTTTGCAGATAAACGTTTAATACGCCTTGAAAGGGCAACTTTGAGAAATTTTGCGAAACCTCCTTCCTGCCAAGTATTGATAACCTTATGTATTATGCAAAGGGGGATTCGTGTTCGAGATAGGAGATATTTATGGGATAAGCTAGTCATCGGTCAGTCGTTCAATATCATAGTACAGTTAATTTGCACCACTCTTCTGAGCAAAATAAATGTCTCCAATGACCAAGCAGCATTCAGAGGAATGTAACAAGATTTTTACAGTATCTACGTGATGCTGAATGTAATTGGGTTGACTGCTCCTTTGTATCTATTATAAGACCAGTAGAAAGTGAACACACTTTTGTGGTAGGATGAATTTTCGTGCCTTACATGTGCAAAGCATATGTGATGCAAACATGAAGATGGTACACCGGAAAGAGGAGAAGGCAGTATGCTATTTGAGTGAACTTTTCATTATTATACCAAGCAATAAATACATATCGCATAAAAAGAGACCATACAGAAATGTTTGCAGTTATGTACACGTGTCATTTATGATCTACCGTCCTAAATTTACTGACTTCTGTAACTCTACAAAAAACTTGTTTTCTCTTTTCGGGTAAGACACTTAGCGTGCTATGTACTTACAATTTATATGTATATAGCAAGTTATTTCAACATAACAATCAGAAATATCTGGACCCAAAACCATCTGTTTGTGATATATGAACAAAAACATGAACAAATTACATTTTAAACCAAATGTTTACTGTTGACGCTACTTGAAGGTGTTTTCTGTCACGTACTCGTTTTGACAGGGAGTGCTTGTTTGTCCAATCGTAATAAGTCCGTTTTTTTTGTAAGATTTGTATCCACGAGGGCATTTGAAACTATAAGAAACTGTAGCTGTTAGTAAAAATAGAAGCAGCACCCTATCAAAAAGTTATGTAAAGAGTATGAGGGTATATTTAAAAAAAAAGCTTGTTACATATTTTGATAGTTGACCTTCTTCAGAAACAAGTGCCTGTGATGTACACGGATACTTTTGTTCCTTACCTACACAACAGACGAAAAATATACATAAAATTGTCATTGAACAATCAAATTTCGGGTATGCAAAAGCAGAGGACGGAACTAACTCCCCTTAAAATGGTTTCAATAATTATATATAATAAAAGAATAGCTTTTGCAAATGTTATTATTAATATGAAAATGATGTGGTACGGTAGCCGATGGGACAATTACCGAGCATAACCCCTTAATACTAGTGCCTAAAACAACGAGCAAAACCGATATAATACTTTAAAGAAAGCCATAGTTTAATTTATTTAGTGTTTATCTCATCTGCAAAATGAGCAAAAGGGATTGTCCACAACATTAGTGGCACTCTCTCCCTATATAAATATAAACACAGAAAAACATATTTTACAATGACGATAACCGAAAAGGAATACATGTTATACAAAAAAATCGCGAGGGGTTTCGCGGAATTTTGTGTCTCGCCTGCGATGCTGCTGTCAGTGTAAAAGTGTAATGTTGACTTAAAAAGTGAGTCCATTTATCAGTAAAATACAGAATTAAAAAAAAAAGAAAAACTTTTTCTGAAGATGCTATTTCTTGGTCTTGAAGATTAGCTTCTGCCTAAGTTTTATAACAATCCATAAAGGTTTAAAAATTTATGATGTCAAAAAATGTAATCCCAGACTGTCTGTAAATGTGAACTGTAAGAATCAAAGTCCATTTATCAGAAATACACTATAAATGAAAAAATATATATTTTTAAACATTTGCTTCAGACATTATCTTTTAATCATTAAAAAGCTTCTGCAAAACCTTCAAAAAACTCTATGAAGGTTTGACAAAGGAATTAATGTATAACAAACTTTAAACCCAGACTTGTTAATTGTAAAAAATCTAAGTCCATTTATCAGTAAAATACGGAAAAATGAAAATAAATGTTTTCGAAACTTCACTCTGGATATTGTCTTTTGGTAATAAATGACCTTCTGTCCAAATTTCATGAAATTCCATGAAGGTTTGACAAAGTTATTGATGTCTCAAAAAAACTTTAACCACAGACTGTACATAAATGTTGACGCCGGCGCTGACGCCGACGACGGAATCTAAGATCGCTATGTCCCGTTTTCGCGAAATAAATTTCACAGGCTCGAAAAAAGGGGGAAATACAATATACATGTATATGTAATATGATAAGACTGGTCTGGTTTGGAATGAGAGAAATTTTAAGAATTCATAATTCTAATTGCATGTTTTAAATTGTTGTGTAATTCCGATATAAGATTGTAGAGACTAAAAAATGTATCTATTTTGTTGTAATGTAAGGTCATCATCAACAGCCAACTTAAGCTCATTTGATATAGCATACATCTTTCTAATGCAAAACATATTATTTATCTCTCTTCATTGCGAAAAGGGCCCAAAAAATAGTGAAAACAATATGTAGGCGAAAACCATAAAAGACGTCATAAAAGCCACCGAAGTGATTAAATGTATATAAATTCTACCGCGCTAAAGTACGTCCATTATTCATTTTTCATTATTCAGAAATCAATAATGAATAATGAAATAGTTCATTAGTCCTTATTCACGTTAAGTAATGCATAATGAATAATGAAATAGTTCATGTTTCAGTACTCAAGTTGAAAAATGAATAATGAAATAGATCATTTAATTATTTTTTGACTGTGACACTATCCCGTATTTCTGAATTTGCCATTTTTTATGTCAGTTTACATATTTTCAAATTGATATCAGGGAAAAGATACATTCTTTGAATTTTTTATCTTTAATTTATTTATTTGGTTTTGGAGGTTAAACTAGTGGGTTTCCCCAACAATTCTTTACGGAAATTCGTTGTTTTAATGTTATGGAGGATCTAAATGCCAAAATAGGCGTGACAATTTTGAAATAGCCAATTTTGAATAATGGAATGGACATTTGAATAATGGAATTGACTGCTGCGAGCCTTCATCCCCTTATTACAGAGAAACCGTATACACCATTCAAAAGCTGGTCAATAGAAGAACAAAAGCTATATAGTAAATTGTTTTTTTTTCTTCCAACATGGATGTAGGATTATCGTAACTTTTTTTTTCCTGCATGATTTGAATGAAACATTTACATATGGGATTCCCTGGAGATATCGAATTGGGAAGGGAAGTAATATATGAATAAGGAGATATGGTATGTTTGCCAATGAGACAACCACCCACAAAGTTCAAATGAAATGGATGATAACAGTTGTAAGCAACCATACGACCTTCAACAATGAGAAAAACCAATACCGTATAGTGGGCTACAAAAGGCCCCGACATGAAAAATGTGAAACAAATCAAATGGGAAAACTAACGACCTAATTTATAACAAAACAATTTACGATACAACAAATATGTCCATGAACAAAAGATAAACAATAAATTAAAGGCCCCTGACTTGGGACAGGCACATAAGGAATAAGTCAAACATGTTTGTGAGCCCTCAATCACCCTAACCTGGGACAGTGGTGTTACAGAACAACATAAGAACAAACTATAAAATCAGTTGCAATCGACTGACCTCAAAAGATCGGTACGAGGCAAAAGAAAACAACTTGCATCAAAACAATAGACATTAAGCATCAGAAATAAGAGTACTAGCAGTTACTAAGAGCTAGCCCAAAGCCAATTACCAGTAATAAATAAATCATAATATCCCAGACTAAAATATCGATCATTCATCCAACAGATTTAGTGTAAAGACGTCATAAACATTCTGAGAAACGCATGTAAACATTATTGTTTAGGAGCCAGCTGAAGTCCGCCTCTAGGTGCTGGATTTTCTCGCTGTGTTGAAGACCCATTGGTGGCTTTGGAC